AAAGAGCATTAGGTTAAAAGAAAACTATATAAAGTGTAATGATGAAAGTAATGATTGGACTGTATAAAGTTCAAAAATTGTAAACAAAATTTTAAAAGTCAAGATTGAAGATAAAATTGGTGTGTCTAACGTTTAACTATGTTAAAAGCAGGGGACTGTATAAAGTTATACAATTGTAAACATAATTGGACTGTATAAAGATCAACAATTACAATTAAAATTTAACTCTCTAAATACAAAATTGTAATGTAAAATGACAAAAATTAAACTTGAAATAAAATGAAGAACGTGCATAGATGGAAATCATGATTGGACTGTATAAAGTTTAAAATTTGTAGATAAAATTGGGCTGTATAAAGTCCAAAGATGGAATCCATAATTAGACTCTATAAGGGGCCTTGATGGAAATCAAAATTGATCTGTAAAAGGACCTACAATAGAAGTCGAAATTGAAATCAGAATTGGATATATAAAATCTTATGATAAAAGCCATATTTTTCCTCTATAAAGTCCCTTAATTGAAATCAAAATTGGACTATGAAAAGATTTCAAGTAAAAGCCAAGACTAAAACCAAATTAGAGCTGTATAGAGTATAGCAATGGAAGCCATGAGTGTACTGTATAAAGTTAAAAAATTGTAGACAAAATGTTGCAAATAAAGAACAACAATGAAATTAGTTCGTAAAGCAGCAGAGATTGCACTGTATAGAGTACAACTTCTGAAGCAAAAATTGGACTGAATATAAACAAAAAGTTGACCTGTAAAAGTTCAATGGTTAAAGCCAAAGTAGAAGTCTAGATTGGAAACAAAAGTGTAGCGGTGGAAGCCATAATTGAACTGTATAAAGCGCAAAAATTTTCGAGAAAATTCGACTGTATAAAGTCCATTGGTTAATGTCAACTATATAAAGAACAATAATGAAATTAATCTGTACCGAGTTCAAGTCCAAAATATGATTGTAAAAAATGTTACAATTGCAGCAAAGTTTGGACTGTATAATCATACTCATGATTAAAGCCAAATTTAAACTGTAAAAGTCCTGTGGGCCAAAGTAGGACTGTATAACCGTACCAAAGATTAAAGCCAAAAGTAAACTGTAAAAGTCATACGGATGATGCCAAATTTGGACTGTATAAACACATGTGATTGGAACTAAGATAGATGTAGGAACAGCTTCAATTGTAGTTAAAATTTAACTATTTAGAAAGCTATCATTAAAGCCAAAATTGAAGTGCTTGAAAAACGACAATTGTGCTAAGAATTGAACTGTAAACTGCCAAATATTTCGACTGTAAAAATATCAATGATTAAAGCCAGATTAAACTTACCAAAGTTCTGCGATTAATAACCAAAACTGGACTGTATAAGAAACTCTATTAATACCAAATATAGGACTGTATAAACCTTGGGTAAATACTTAGGAATGAAGCCAAAAATTTAACTTTATAAAAAGGACTGTATAAACCACTTCAAATAAAGGCAAAAGCAGAAAATGGACTGTATAAAAACGTTCGAAAATTGAAGTTTATATAGATCAACGACTAGAATAAAAATTATACTCTAAATTGGACTGTATAAAGATTTGTAATAACTTCCAAAGTTGAACTGTATAAAGAACACACTGGAAACTAAAATTCGACTGTATATAAAGTTAAGATTCCAGATCGTCATCAAAATTGGACTGTATAAAGATTTACAATAGAATCAGGATTGGAAGATCTGTGATAAGATCCAAAGTTGGACTGTATAAAAAGCTCGATTATACCAAAATTAGGACTGTAAAAACCTTTTTAAAATTCTTGGGAATGAAGCCAAAATTTAACTGTATAAAGTGGACTGTAAAAATCACTTCGAATAAAGACAAACTGAATGAATTAAAGCCAATTTTAATAGGACTTTATAAAGTTTTACTCTAAAAATCACAGATTGAGTCCAAAAAAAGACAAAATTTTACAAATGTACTGTATAAAGAAATGTTAAAAAAAATAATTGAAATTTTATTTTTTTTTTTCTTTTTATTTTTTTTTTTGCAAAAAGTCGACTTTTGTTACAAAGTATAAATAGAATTTTTTCTAAAATTTCTCATAAAAATTTTAAAAAATTTATGCAAATAAATTAAAGAAAAATGAAACAAAATTAACTCTCAAATGAACACTTAATATAGATCACTTTAACACTCATGTTTTCCTAAGCAACGTGACTACATTTGCAATATTTATTGGCAAACTAAACCAACAACACATGGCCCAAAATTATATGTATTAGTCACACACACGTTTCAAGAACATATGTACGTTAAATATATTTTACAACTCTGCTGTTTATAGACTGACTACACAACTTTACAGATGTCATCATGGCCATCTTTATCTAACCATTCATTTGAACATTTCTCTTCATTTCACCAGCATTGAAGAACATACTTAAGTTATTTGATTATAGTCTACCATACTCGTACTTATTCAAACATAAAAAGGATCTACTATTTTATTTCATCTTAAAAATATTTGTTCTTTTATTTTTTGTTGTTTCATTTTTACGTTTATGTTGTTTAATGGTTATAAACCCCTTTCAAATACGCTCATACTTCATTGTCAGTTGTCCAAAAATTTTGTCATCATCTCGTTCGTTGGCACTTGATGGCAGAACATCTCTTTACTTTTTGTTTTATGGTCAAATAAACTCTCTAAAGCTCTAACACAAATGTTAAGAATATAAAAACAACAACAACGCCAATAACAACAATAACCAGAACCAGAACTCATAGCCATAAAAAATATGTTCACTAGACATAAAAATATTTATGGTCTTTTATATTTATATTCTAGTTATTTTTTTTATTTTCACAACGAAAACGTTTTTTATTCATTTTCTGTTCTCTACATTCAAACAAACGTTTCTGTTTTATCAATTATATTTATGATTGATTTAATGTAAAGTGAAAAAACACTTAACTAAATAAATATATGAATGAATAAATAAATAATTGAGTGAGTGAGGGAATGTAAATATGAATGACTGACTGCTGGATAGATAGTAATAGACAAATTTAATGAAGTGTTAAAAAACCTATTTGTTTTCTCATTGCAGTCATAAATATTTAATCAAATAAAAATAATAATTGAAAAGTAGCGAATTTTAATTGAAAATATTAAGAGTTTTTGTTATTTTGTAGAGACTGTACAAGATGGTAGTTAACGACTTTAGAAGAATAACAACTTCTTGAAGGCTATAGTCTAGTCTATAGTCTAGTCTAGTCTAGTCTATAGTCTAGTCTATAGTCTAGTCTGTAGTCTATAGTCTAGTCTATAGTCTAGTCTAGTCTAGTCTAGTCTATAGTCTAGTCTATAGTCTAGTCTGTAGTCTATAGTCTAGTCTGTAGTCTATAGTCTAGTCTGTAGTCTATAGTCTAGTCTATAGTCTAGTCTAGTCTAGTCTATAGTCTAGTCTATTCTAGTCTATAGTCTAGTCTATAGTCTAGTCTATAGTCTAGTCTATAGTCTAGTCTATAGTCTAGTCTATAGTCTAGTCTATAGTCTAGTCTATAGTCTAGTCTATAGTCTAGTCTATAGTCTAGTCTATAGTCTAGTCTATAGTCTAGTCTATAGTCTAGTCTATAGTCTAGTCTATAGTCTAGTCTATAGTCTAGTCTATAGTCTAGTCTATAGTCTAGTCTATAGTCTAGTCTATAGTCTAGTCTATAGTCTAGTCTATAGTCTAGTCTATAGTCTAGTCTATAGTCTAGTCTATAGTCTAGTCTATAGTCTAGTCTATAGTCTAGTCTATAGTCTAGTCTATAGTCTAGTCTATAGTCTAGTCTATAGTCTAGTCTATAGTCTAGTCTATAGTCTAGTCTATAGTCTAGTCTATAGTCTAGTCTATAGTCTAGTCTATAGTCTAGTCTATAGTCTAGTCTATAGTCTAGTCTATAGTCTAGTCTATAGTCTAGTCTATAGTCTAGTCTATAGTCTAGTCTATAGTATAGTCTATAGTCTAGTCTATAGTATAGTCTATAGTCTAGTCTATAGTCTAGTCTATAGTCTAGCCTATAGTCTAGTCAAAAACAATACACTGCTTCATTCCTAATTGTTGTTCTTTCTTTGCTTTGTTTTTCTAAACAAGCTAGTACAATAACAAAGTTAACCATATGGTTATGTGTTTTGTTGATTTCTGTTTGAGCATGAAAGAAAAATCGAAAGTTTTGATGAAATTCTTAGAGGTAGTCTCAGATTTTTGCTCATATCTTCCTTATTTATGGACTTAACTTGCTGATTTTAAATAGCGTTCTATTCGATCGTATATCTGACAGAATTATTGAAGATTCGGATCTCGCATATATCTGGGGTCTTCTGAAAACTGATTTCAACATACACACAGACAGACGGACAGACAATCAGACAAACAGACATTTGAAAACAAACTTAACTAAAAAAGGAGGTTGCGTAGACGGACAGACAGACATCGCTAAACCAACTTCGACGCCTTACAAATTGTATTATGAATTATGAACTGAATAACAAACTTAATATACCCTTCTCACAAAGATAAAGGGTATTAAAAATTTTTGATATTTTTTTTAATTAAATCCTACCATATACTACTATTTTTGCCATCTTATCAATATATTTCATATGGAAAATAATTCTATTTGTTTTTAAATAGTAAATTAAATTTCTCAAAATATAAATTTCTCTTCAATTCTATCACTAGACAACTTTTGTTTTTACTCTCATTGAAAAGTTGTCGTTTTTTTATCTTTTAAAGAACAATGACACTTTAGAAAATATGAAAACTTGAAAATATTAAAACTTGTAAACTATATGGAGCAGTATTTAAATAAAAGAGAACAACCTGTTAAAAGCACTGTTGAAGGCTTGAAGGATTTTATGCTTGTATTGTTTTCTGTGTTTCTCCACTCTGTTTTTAATACATCACACAAAGTGTCAGAGTTTAACATAAAGTCTGTTGTTTATGAATTTTTCACTTTAAATTTACTTACCAGCTTAACAATGCGTGTAAGTTTAACTTTTTACTGTTTGTGAAAATTTTTCTGGTTTTATGAGGTTTTCGCTTATGGTTCACACTAAAGCTGGCAGTATATAGTAGGGAAGTTTTAGCAAGAATTTTAGGAAGTTGGAATAGGTTAAAAGTCAAAATAGATTTTTCCATAAAGTAAAACCTGCAAAAAAGGAGAAAATATACATAATTTTAATAAACATTTTTGTTAGTTAGTAGCTTAATTTTGAGTCGTTTACTATTAGTTGTAAAAGTTATTTCCTTATTATAGAAGTTTTTTTTTTTGTTGGTTCTTTGTTTTAACTTTTATTACATAAAATGTATACAAAACTTTATGAAAGAAAAATTGTCACAACAAAAACTGAAATATTAAAATGGCATAAATAACAATATATGAATATGTATCAGTACTGTGTATACATACAGTAGTTACTTGTATGTATTCATTTGTTTAAAAAAAGAAGTTTTTCAAAAGTTCTCTACTACAAAAAGACTAAAACATAAGTTTTTGCTGGAAAAAAATACTAAAAATTAATATAAATTTTTTTTAAAATATGAAAATTCATAAGACAAAACTTGTTAAAAGAATTAAATTTTATTTACACAAAATTTGTTAAATAGTAAGATTTAAATTAAAAAGAAAAAATAATCAAAAATTTAAAAGTATGTATTACATTTATAATAAAGAAATAACAAGGCGTATGATTGTTATCAAACTTACACTTAAACAATCATACGCCCTGGAGTCCTAATACTTATTATTTAACTATTATGGGGGAGGGCGTATGATTAATATTATTTAAGATAAACGTTCTTTTTTGTTCCTATACTTATGTAATTCTTACCGTAACCGTATTTTCATTAATTATTGTTAAACCTGCTTCTTTATATTTTATTAAATTTAATAAATTTCTCTCTATACATACATAAGTATAACAAATAATTTCTTCAAGGTGTCACTGGTCATTTGTTAAAAAAATAACAACATTTATACAACATCTATCATTAACAAATGCCACTCAAATAAATTACTTTACGTAATAAAGTATCTTTTGAGTTATATAAACGTGAATGTATCTGTGTGTTTTTTAACCACAAAACCACTATGATTTTGAAACATTGATGCTGCCAGACAACTAGCCAGCAGTATTTTAGTAGAAGAAGAAAAACTCAACTCAAGCACGAAATGAAATGAAAATCTAATAAATTGGAAAATTTATCTCGGTAATCTGTTTAATAAATGAAAATGGCACTAATTGCCCTGTTAAAGATAAATAACAGTTTGTTGCTTTTTTTATCAATTTATAATATTTGTTAGGTAATGCATAGTTTAGGGGTAAGCGGGTTTAGGTAAAGAGTTTGTAATTGGGGAAATCGAGTTTCCCCATAATTGTACTGTATGAGAGCAAAAGATTAAAGCTAATATAGAGATACAAAAAAAAAATAAACATAATTGGACTGCATATATATTAATAGAATGATAACTATGAAATAAAATCATACAATTTATCAAATTATTCTTAAATAACAATAAGGTCATAATAGTATTAATGTTAAAATGACTACATTTTTTTATTTCTAAGAATTTTATTTCGAAAAGAACTTGTTCCAGGACAAATTCCTCATATTTTCATAAGGTTAAAAATTTGTTTAAAAAAAATTAGTTTTCCTGAAGAAGATGAGTTTGAACTCGTTCGGTAACTAGTTACCTTAGAACAAATTCGTAGAGTTTTCAAACGAAATTCTGTTTGAAAGGATGAAGTTGTATATCAACTTTTGTTTACCACTGTTTTTTTTTAAACCACATAAAAATCTTCAACCAATCGGTTAGCCTCCAACCATGACCATTACAATCAGTTGAATACTAAATCATTTATTTTAGCAAAAACAAAAACTAAACACAATACGAACAATTTTATTGTATGCATTTAATAGAAACCCTCAAGGCAGGAACAATTATACAGAACTACACTAATAAAAACCATGAAATTGTAAGGGCTTAAAGTTGGTAACATCAGAGCAAATAATGGAGGATCAGGAGCTACTATTCAAAACATAAAGTGGTTCATATAAACCAGTTTATATCCGGTTCGCTGAATCCTCTATTTTATGCGCGAAAATTTTAAATTTAATACAATGAAAGCATATACGGAAAAGGACTTAGGTCCCCCTTAGATCTGAGATTATGTGGTTTTATGTTTTCGAACTAACTAACTAACTAACTAACTAACTAACTAACTAACTAACTAACTAACTAACTAACTAACTAACTAACTAACTAACTAACTAACTAACTAACTAACTAACTACTAACTAACTAACTAACTAACTAACTAACTAACTAACTAACTAACTAACTAACTACTAACTAACTAACTAACTAACTAACTAACTAACTAACTAACTAACTAACTAACTAACTAACTAACTACTAACTAACTAACTAACTAACTAACTAACTAACTAACTAACTACTAACTAACTACTAACTAACTAACTAACTAACTAACTAACTAACTAACTAACTAACTAACTAACTAACTAACTAACTAACTAACTAACTAACTAACTAACTAACTAACTAACTAACTAACTAACTAACTAACTAACTAACTAACTAACTAACTAACTAACTAACTACTAACTAACTAACTAACTAACTAACTAACTAACTAACTAACTAACTAACTACTAACTAACTAACTAACTAACTAACTAACTAACTAACTAACTAACTAACTAACTAACTAACTAACTAACTAACTAACTAACTAACTAACTAACTAACTAACTAACTAACTAACTAACTACTAACTAACTAACTAACTAACTAACTAACTAACTAACTAACTAACTAACTAACTAACTAACTAACTAACTAACTAACTAACTAACTAACTAACTAACTAACTAACTAACTAACTAACTAACTAACTAACTAACTAACTAACTAACTAACTAACTAACTAACTAACTAACTAACTAACTAACTAACTAACTAACTAACTAACTAACTAACTAACTAACTAACTAACTAACTAACTAACTAACTAACTAACTAACTAACTAACTAACTACTAACTAACTAACTAACTAACTAACTAACTAACTAACTAACTAACTAACTAACTAACTAACTAACTAACTAACTAACTAACTAACTAACTAACTAACTAACTAACTAACTAACTAACTAACTAACTAACTAACTAACTAACTAACTAACTAACTAACTAACTAACTAACTAACTAACTAACTAACTAACTAACTAACTAACTAACTAACTAACTAACTAACTAACTAACTAACTAACTAACGAACTAACTAACGAACTAACTAACTAACTAACTAACTAACTAACTAACTAACTAGCTAACTAACTAACTAACTAACTAACTAACTAACTAACTATCTAAGTAACTAACTAACTAACTAACTAACTAACTAACTAACTAACCTAACTAACTAACTACTAACTAACTAACTAACTAACTAACTAACTAACTAACTACTAACTAACTATACTAACTAACTACTACTACTAACTATCTATCTATCTATCTATCTATCTATCTATCTATCTATCTATCTATCTATCTATCTATCTATCTATCTATCTATCTATCTATCTATCTATCTATCTATCTATCTATCTATCTATCTATCTATCTATCTATCTATCTATCTATCTATCTATCTATCTATCTATCTATCTATCTATCTATCTATCTATCTATCTATCTATCTATCTATCTATCTATCTATCTATCTATCTATCTATCTATCTATCTATCTATCTATCTATCTATCTATCTATCTATCTATCTATCTATCTATCTATCTATCTATCTATCTATCTATCTATCTATCTATCTATCTATCTATCTATCTATCTATCTATCTATCTATCTATCTATCTATCTATCTATCTATCTATCTATCTATCTATCTATCTATCTATCTATCTATCTCTCTATCTCTCTATCTATCTATCTATCTATCTATCTATCTATCTATCTAACTAACTGCAATTTTAAAGATAATTCGAACAGGACTTTGGAGCTCATAAGAGAAAATTTATTTTCTTTCATTTGATGAAGTTTAATTCAAATTCGTATTAGTCTGTTAAATTTTAAACTCGGATTTGTAACACAATTTAATATTTTAAAACAATACCATGATGAAGCTATTATTATAGAAAATTGTAGTTAAAATAACAAATATGTCAAGGATTATATCAAAAATTAAAACAACAAATAAACAAAGATAGAGCAATATATGTACAAACCACCAGACAGACATACAGTTAGATAGAGAGTGTTTAAGGGAAATAGAAATGATAACAAAAAATAAAATCTGGGAAATATTTATACAAGGATTAAAATAATAAATGAAAATACAACGAAACTAACAGCAACAGCAATAGCAAAGATTTATTACTTTAGTAGAAAATAAAAAAAGGACAAAATGAAAATGGGGGGCAGGGCTGTTAGGTATATCTATTAGAATATTTATTGAATTTTAAACAATTTCAAAAAATATTACTTTTTATACTTTTATATAGCCAACAAAAATATTTCAAACTTTTTAATAAAGTTTTCATGAATAAATCTCTTAAAAATTTCCTAAGAACTTAATAGCAAATATAAACAAAATGCTTGATGCAGGTGTTTTAATTTAAAAAAAAATCTATAGATAAAAGGAAAACATTTCCGTTAAAAATGTATTTGATATCCGTTTTCAGTTTTAAAAGTAATATTGTATTAGTATACTTTGTTTTTCTATTTAAATAAAGACGATTTCACAATAGACCTCATCCGTTTTAATTAAGAACAAAAGAAGAGAGTGAAAAATATAAAAACAAATCAAGAAGTAATGATTGTATGAGATTACATATAGAAACGTGAAACGTGCAACAAAAGATCAAGGAAATGAAATCAAAGTAAATGCAATAATACGTCTATTGCAAATATCAAACTGCTAATGATAGACTTTTTCACCCTACCACGGGCTGGGGTATAGAAAAATTTTTTTATAATTTATAAAGGAAATTTAGTATGGAAAATGTTTCATTGCTTTTTACACTTAAAACTTTTTTCTTGTGTTATTGTTGTTGCTATTTGTAAATATCAATTTCCTTTTT